GCTCTAGGTTTTCATAAACATGATTCACATGATCATGAAGATGACCATAATATATTTGCCAAAGACAGTTTTTTATGGAAGTGTTTGCTATTCTTGGCTGGAGTATATTTATTTTTTGTGTTTGAAATAATTATGCATGCATTTGGTGCTGGTCATTCACACGATGTTTCCTTTCACGGAGATGAAATGCTTTCAAATGGTCACTCACACAGTAATGGTCTAACTCAAAATGTTCGCTCTAATGGTGATGAACACCACTCAAACAAAATAAAAAAACCTGAAAAATATGTTATAAAAAATAATTATCAAGCATGCAGAGTAAGAAAGTATTTTTTTGATTTGTTTTTCACCTTTTGAAAATTTCTCACTTTAATTAGCTATAAATATTTTACTACAAATGTTTTATTTACTACAAAAGTTAATACAAATTTAATAACTTAATACAAATGTTTTACTAACTACAAAAGTTTTAAGTTTTATTTATTTTTTTATTAAACATCTTCGCTTCCAACAAGGCAGCAAGCAAACACTAATTAGAGTTGGAAGTTACTGGTAAATAAAAGATGAAGATTGTAGAGCAAGATAATGATTAATAATGACAAACAAGGACACCAAGTATTACCAGTACCACGCGCAACATGGCACTGGTAATACTTTGATATTTTTCAGCAGTTGATGGAATCAGCCTCTCTGAGAGTTACCACAGAGTTCAGGAAACCTGACTACCAACCGGCCTCAGAACTATAAAACTGAGTTTTAGAGCTGTACCCTCATTAGAGATAAAAAAATGAGTTGCATAATCATAAAAACAGAGACACAAGCAAAACCCATATAAAAACACATCTGCGCCAGCCTAATAAATGAAGAAGGGGTGCAAGGTTGGTCAACAGATAAAATCTTTTACCCCTTAAGTCTTTGCCTAGGAGCACTTCTACAAGACAGTAACCAGATGCATTTAACATCTGCCCAAGATGAGTATTTTTATCGAGACACCATCTCTAGCCTTTAGTCAACCAAGTGCCCCAAGGCAGGGGATGTTTTAAGTCAGAGTCGGCCTCTCCTAGCTTTCGCCTAAAAAGGCATATTCTAAAAGCCAACAGGACATGAAGCAGATTGTACTGGGTTACATATTACCAGTAACAGGATAGCCTGACCTATATTACTACAACCTATAACCTGACCTAATTGCTACAAACTATAACCTGACCTACTTACTACAAATGTGTTACTACAAATGTTATGCATACTACGAATGTGTTATTTACTACAATTGTTATGCTTACTACAAATTTTTTACTTACTACAAATATTTTACTTACTACAAATGTTTTACTTACTACAAATATTTTACTTACTACAAATGTTTTACTACAAATATTTTACTTACTACAAATGTTTTACTTACTACTATCATTCTAAACCTATCATTCACTAATATTCGTGGCTAAACCTATCATTCACTAGTATTCGTGGTCTTCGAAGTAACTTTTCTTCTGTTGAATCTTATCTCATGCAAAGTTCACCAGACCTACTTGCTCTCTGTGAGACTAATTTGAGTTCAGCTGTCTCATCTTGTGATCTTAGTGTTGATGGTTATCTTCCTTTAATTCGAAAAGACTCCAATAGTCACATGCTTGGCCTGGGCATTTACATTTGTAAGAATTCACCCATTTGTCAGGAAACTAGGTTTGAATCCATAGACTACTCTTTTATGTGCTTTCGTTTAGCACCATTTCACTCTATCACCTTTCTCTTTGTTCTATATCGCTCTCCCTCATTTCAAGACTGCATTTTTCTTGATGTTATTTCTGATCATATTGACCAACCCCTCTCTATTTTTTCATCAGCCAATATTGTTGTTGTCGGTGACTTCAAGGTTCATCACACTGAATGGCTTGGCTCTAGTGTCAGTGACTCTGTAGGCATTAAGGCCCACAACTTTTGTCTTTCTCAATCCCTAACTCCAATAGTCAACTTTCCAACTCGCTTTCCAGACAACCTGAATCATTTACCTTCTCTACTCGACTTATGTCTTGTTTCTGATCCTAGTCAGTGCTCAGTTTCTCCACACTCACCCTTAGGTGCATCTGATCATGGTTTGGTATCTCTAAAACTATTATCTCATTCTTCTTTATCATCAGAATCCCCCTGTCATCGTACATCTTACAACTACCTTAAAGTTGACTGGGACTCTTTCCGTGATTTTCTTCTTGATGGCCCCTGGGTAGAAATCTTTCGTCTTCCTGTTGACAAATGTGCTTCTTACATAAATTCGTGGATTCAGGCTGGCATGGAATCCTTTATTCCCTCTTGATGATTCCAGGTTAAGCCTCACTCTTCTCCATGGTTTTCCTCACATTGTGCTGCTGCTATTGCCAATCAAAACCATTACTTCCATATCTATCAACAAAACAGCCGTCTGTTTATTAATACTAGGAACCATTGTAAAAAGGTTTTGTCTAACACCAAAGCCCGCTATTCTCAGATCATGAAATCTTGTATTTCATCACAAAAATTAGGCTCTTGTGACTTCTAGAGAATCTTTAATAGTATCAATAATAAGGGCAAGTCTGTAATTCCACCTCTTTTGTATGGTTCAGACTTTGTCACCTCAGCTAAAAACAAAGCTGAATTGTTTGCCAAGAACTTTTCATCAATATTATCTCTTGATTCCACTAGTTGCATTCTACCTGATATAGCCTTCAAACAGGTTGATCCATTGCTTGACATCCATATCACTCCAGCTTCTGTATCTAAAGTGATTTCCTGCTTAGACTCTTCTACATCTTGCCACCCGGACAACATACCTGTTATAGTCTTGCAGAAGTGTTCTCCGGAGCTGTCTTTCAAAACTATTTAACAAGTGCTTATCAGAGTCTTGTTTTCCAGCCTGCTGGAAAGCAGCATCTGTTATCCCTATTTTTAAAAATTCTGGAGAGCGATCCGATTTATCTAACTACCGTCCCATTAGTCTTCTTCCTATCATATGCAAGGTTTTTGAATCTTTAATTAACAAACACTTAATCTCTCATCTTGATTCTTATAACCTACTTTCTGATCATCAATATGGATTTCGATCTTCTCATTCTAGGGCTGATTTGCTAACAGTAATAACTAATAGGTTTTATCGTGCATTAGATAAAGGTGGAGAGGTTAAGGCCATTGCCCTTGACATTTCTAAAGCATTTGATAAAGTTTGGCATGCTGGTCTTCTCCATAAGCTTTCTTCTTACAGTGTATCTGGAAAAATCTTTAAGATTATTGAATCCTTTCTTTCTAATCGTAGTATAAAAGTTGTCTTTGATGGACAGCAATCTTCTTCTTATTCTGTAACCTCAGGGTTTCCTCAAGGTTCAATCCTTGACCCTATACTATACTTAATTTACATAAACGATCTTCCATCTAAGGTGGCATTGTTCGCTGATGATACTACCATTTATTCTTGTCACGATAAGAAGCCAACTCCCTCTGATTGCTTGCAGGGAGCATTTGAGCTTGAAAAGGATCTCACTTCTGCTACAGCATGGGGCTCACAGTGGCTGGTGAACTTTAACTCAGATAAAACTCAATTTTTTTCAGCCAATCGTTATCGCAATAATTTAGACCATATATATTTATGAACGGTAATGTAATCAATTTATCATCTACCCTTCATCTTCTAGGATTAAGTCTCACTTCTGATCTTTCTTGGAAACCTTATATCAAGTCTGTTGCAAAATTATCATCTGCTAAGGTTGCTTCTCTTTATCGAGCTCGACACTTTCTTACTCTGGATTCTATTCTCTATCTCTATAAATCTCAAATTCGACCTTGTATGGAATACTGTTGGATTATCTGGGGCGAATCTTCTAATGATGCCCTTTCTCTTTTAGACAAGGTGCAAAAACGCATTGTAAACATAGTTGGACCTGCTCTTGCAGCCAACCTTCAACCTCTGTCACATCGTCGTAATGTTGCTTCTCTTTCTCTTTTCTACAAATACTATAATGGGCACTGCACTAAAGAGCTAGCGTCTCTTGTGCCATCTACTAAAATTCATTCATGTGTTACTCGTCATTCAATTAAGTCTCATCTTTTTTCTGTTACTGTTCCTAAGTGCTCCAAAAACTCTTATTCATCTAGTTTTTTTCCTCGAACATCAGTTCTTTGGAATTCGCTTCCTTCTTCTTGCTTTCCTGATTCATATAATTTGCAATCTTTTAAGTTGTCTGTCAATCGTTATCTTGCTCTACAATCTTCATCTTTTCTCTTCCAGTAACTTTCAACACTACTTAGTGGTTGCATGCAGCCTTGTTGGAAGCAAAGATGTTTAAAAAAAAATAAATAGAAATAAAAAAAAAAAAAAAACTTACTACAAATATTTTACTACAAATGTTTTACTTACTACAAATGTTTTACTACAAATGTTTTACTTACTACAAATGTTTTACTAAAAATATTTTACTTGCTACAAATTTTTTACTTGCCACAAATGTTTTACTACAAATATTTAACTTACTACAAATATTTTACTAACTACAAATATTTTACTTACTACAAATATTTTACTTACTACAAATATTATACTTAATACCAATATTTTTCTTTCTACAAATATTTTACTACAAATTTTTTACTTGCTACAAATGTTTAACTTGCTACATATGCTTATGCATTTAATTTACAAATGTTAGTACTCATTGATATTATTTGTATTTAGTAAATATTTTAAAACTTTACCATACCAAAAATTTTTTTGATAAAAATGATGATTCAGTTTTTCTTTTTTTTTAATCAATAAATTTTGTTGTCTCAGGATGATGGAGTCTTATACACCCCAACTGATGAGAAATTTCAACCTGATTCAAATCACAAAAATGAATCGAGTGTATGCATTTTTTAATTCAAAATACTTTCTCATACTTTTTAATTTTATTAGTATTTAAAATATATTATGAAAAACGTAATGCATAAAAAAACTTGATTGAATGCCCTCTGATCATTGTATTATACCATTATCATGATGTCATACCATAATAACATGATACGAGTTCTTATGGTACCCTTAGTATTTTACTCCATTATTATGTTATTATACCATAAATATGGCTTCACTATATAATCTAAGGTATTAATAAAATAATAAGCAACAATAAGCAAAAAATGTGTAACGAGAAACGAAACTTAGAAAGGCAGCTTCACAAAAGAAAAATTAAATAAAGCTTGTAAAGCTTATAAAAAAATGAGCGACTGAAACTCATGACGAACTTATTATAAAGACTAAAAAATCAAAAATAAAATATTACAAAAACATTTGCAAGAAAATATAATTTTTTACCATAAAGATCCCTATCTCCCCTCTCCCCCAGTGTGCATAAATGTGGGCGTGGCATAGTGGTTAGAGCACTTGCATTATTAGCAGAAGATCCAGGTTCAAAACGAACTCTGGACGTCACAGTACGGAAAGAGGTGTGAACTTCCTAATTAAATGAACTTCCGCGGTGCTCTGTGATAACACCTTTAGGTCTTCTTGGGGCACCTAAATAACAAAATTAAAAAAAAAAAAATTTTGCTATACAATTTTTGTGTACTATCCACCTCCTTAAAAGTACCTACGCATTTAATCTACACCCAACATTTTATAATTTTTTTTTTTAATTAGTGTCTCCTTAGATATTAAATAATGATTATAGTATTGTGCTATTATCAGTTTTTTATGATAACTTTTATTATGGCATTGTATCATAATCAGTTTTTTATCTTTTTAATTAGTATGAAATAAACTTTGTTGAAGTTGAAAAAAGTTTGCAGAGCAATGGTGTTGATGGAATCAAAACAGATTTAAAAAATGATTTCTCTAAGAAAGTCCTACCGATTAAAAGTTTTAAATCTATAGTTTGGATGATATTTGTTGGTGATGCAATACATAATTTTATGGATGGTATGGCTATAGGCACTGCATTTTCAGACACTTTTCCTGCAAGTCTAAATGGAGGCATAAGCACATCAATTGCAATTCTTTTGCATGAGTTGCCGCACGAGCTAGGTATTAACTACTATTAAATTATTTGTTGTTGATGATTATAGTTGAAAAAAAAATTTTTTTTTCTTAACCGTGGAGTATGAATTAGCGGTATGGTAGTGTTATAAAGCATTAGGATCAGGGTTTGGATATCCTTTGTATAAATAAAAAATATTTTTAGCTTTGTTGTCAGCCTTATTAATAAATATTCTCTTTTTTTCTTAGCATAAATTTTAAGTGTTATTAACAATTGTTTTACATTGTTTATGTAGTATTGTATATGGTTTGATACATTTTTAAGTTAGTGTTTAGATAATCGTTTCTTTGTTGAATAAAAATTTTTGGTATTTTTGTTTTTTTAATTAAAAAAACAAAAATAAAATTTTTTTTTGGTATTTTTGTTTTTTTAATTAAAAAGTTTATTGTTGTAAATAATACATACATTAATGTACATACATTTTCAATACACTTCAATGTAAAGTTTTTTTTGTTTGAAAATTTCCAAACCCAAAACATTTAATTTAAAAACAGTAACTAAGTTTTTGTTTTTTTTTTGTTTGGTATTGTTGTTTTTTAATAATTTCAAATTTCAAAGTTTTTAATCAAAAGTTGCAAATTTTCGTTTAAAAACTTTAAAATTTAATTATCAGTAATTTTAACTTTTTTTCTGCAACTTCTACACTATTTTTTCAGACATTTTTTCTTGATATTTTTATATTTTTTTTCATTTTTCAGCATAAAATGCTGTGATAGATGAATAGTGTTTTCTATCTTTTTGCAAAAAACTAATTGAACTTCCTATAAACTGGTTGATATTTTATATGGTTTACCAGTTTTATTTTAATGATGCTCTTTCTTTATTGTCTTAAAGTTGCAATTTTTTCTCTTTTCTACAAATTTTATCATGGTCGTTTTTTAAATGATCTATCATCTCTAGTTCCATCAACTAAAACTCAATCTCCCTTGATTCGTCATTTAGCTAAGTCTCATTCTTGTGCTATATCTGTCCCTGCATGCTCCAAAAACTTTTTTTGTTTAGTTTTTTACCTCGCACTTCAATGCTTTATAACTCTCTCCCATCTTTATGTTTTCCTGAGTCATACAACCTTCAACTTTAAAAAAAAAACATTTGTAGCAAATAAAACATTTGTAGCAAATAAAACATTTGTAGCAAGTAAAACATTTGTAATAAGTAAAAGATTTGCAACAAATAAAACATTTGTAGTAAGTAAAAAGTTTGTAGTAAGTAAAATATTTGTAGTAAAATATTTGTAGTAAATTATTTGTAGTAAAACCTTTATAGTAAGTAGAACATTTTTAGTAAATCTGCTCGAGCTGCTACTTTTCTACAAATACTATCATGGTTTTTGCTCAAAGGAGCTATCATCTCTAGTTTCATCATCTAAAATTAAATCTCATTTGACTCGTCATTTAGCCAAGTCTCGTTCTATTACTGAATCTGTCCCTGCATGCTTTGAAAGCTTTTTTTTATTTAGTTTTTTTCCTGCATTTCAACATTTTAGAACTCTTTCCTATTTCATGTTTTTCTGACTCATACAACCTTCAAATTTTTCTTAAGTCTTCTGCCTTGCTCTATAATTTTATCCTTTTTTTTTCTAGTAACTCCCAACTTAATAATGGTTGCTTGCAGCCTTGTTGGGACTTAATCAAAGTTTAAAAAAAAAAAAAATCAATATGGTGTGATTTAGTTGTTGAGTCTGTAGAGTTTTTGATTATAATAAATTATGAATCAAAGTATTATAGCTTTTAAATTCATTTTTATAGACTTAAAATTTTTTTTTTAACTAATAGAAACCATTACTTTTTATTATGCAATCATTTACAGCAATTAATTTAAGTTCAGTTACCATGGCGTTAGATTTTGCTCAAACATTTTTTTACTTTAGTTTTGCTTAGATGTAATTATCATTTTACTTTTTTTAGTAATTTTGTAATTTACTAATTTTAATTAATAAGTGAATAAGTTATTTATTTTTATTATATTAGTAAATTAAATTTCTAATTCATTAAAAGTAATTTTATGCAAAAACTGCATCAAAATAATATTTTTTGTTGCCTTTCAAGAAAATCAGTCGTCTAGTGCCATCGGTTATATCTGTACAACATTAGATAACTGTTACCTGGCTATTTTTGAGTGTGCCTAATCCAAATATATAGAGCAGATAACTCAATTAAAATTTTTTAATTGTCATTTTATATTTTAAGAATGCAAAGTTTCTGTTGGGCTTACATGAGTTATATTTTATTAACAACGGAGTTGCCTTTGTCTCCTGAAAAAAAAATTTTTTTTTAATGTGACAAAGATGTTAAACTAAGTATTAAGTATGATATTGGTCTCTTAAAAAACGGTAAACCATTTTAAAATGAAGACCAAAAACTCCTTATTAGGAATCGTATAAATGAATGAAAATCTATAAATATGTTGATTACATACTAGCTTCATTTTTTCCACAGTGACATACACAAATATAATATCACTGATTGAGTTTTACGGTATTCAAACATAGCTTTAGCAGACAAACCTATGGTTGAACTCTGCATGCTAGCATTGGAAATAAGCCTTTTTACAGTGCCACCTATACCATTACAAGGCAGTATGCAGTTGCACACAAATCCATCAGAATAAAAATAAATTTTTTGTTAATGCAGGGCAGAGATTAGTTTAAATATATTTTTACCTTGGTAACTATATTTTTACCTTGGTAATTCTGTATCTTGACATGTACTACAAGTTTATTTCTCTGCAAAAGCTACCACGAATTTTATCTCATCATAAGTAATTGTCTCTGAGATAATTTATATGACTTGATTGTGGTTTTTCGATAAAGTAATAATAAAAAAGAAAGGTTCCAACAAGACGTTTCTAAGATGTAAAAGTATTACTAACTTACGATTTTTTAAATTTCTTTTTACTTTTAACCACCTATTAAAGTAAAAAATGCTTTTAAAGATTTGTTGCAATTTTATTTACCAGTGTTATAAATATTTTAATAAATATAATTTTGACAGATCTTTCTATAAATTTATTAAATACAGTTTAAACAGTTTTAATTTATAATACGATAGTTACAGTCGTTAATTTTAATTGCAGTTTTTTAGTGTTACAATGCTATATAATATTCAATTTTTTTAAGGTGACTTTGCTGTTTTGTTAGCATCTGGGCTTTCAATTAAACAAGCTTGCATCATGCACTTTATTTCATCAATCACTGCATTTGTTGGTGGATCTTTTGGAGTTTCATTAGGAACTGAATGGAATTCTGGTTTTTGGATTTTATCATTTACTGCCGGCTTGTTTATTTATGTTGCTTTAGTTGATATGGTAATATGTTAAAACATCTCTAATATATTAAATTACATATTAACCTGAGAAATGTAAATATATTATACGTACATAGTTAGTCTTATATTTGAAACATGAATCTTCTAAAATAGGGCATGAGATGGCCACTCATCAAAGGAAGCTTTTTTATAATTATTGTTTTACATTCCTTTACTATAATGAATGTGAGTTGAGATCAAACTTGCTAAATGAATTTATATTTTAATCATTTTCTAATTAAACATTAAAGTGCTTTTTTAGTCATTTGAAAGTTTGAATTACTGAATCAATTGAATCAAGTTCTCTCAATGATTGAATCAAGTTGTTAATTTAATTGTGTTTAAAAATCACAAAAATAACAACTATAAAAATGAGTCCTTAATATTTCTAAATATTTTTTATTTTTTAAAAGTTTCAAGACGATTGTTATTTTATTAAAGATTTTTTAGATTTTAATGAAAATGATTTTTTATATGAAAAAATATTTTTACAAAGTTTTTGGATTATATATATATATTTAATGTTTTTTATTAAGGGACGGTTTCGAAATTTTTATATAGTTAAGTCTTTTTTTTTTTTTTTGATAATACCAGGAATTGATGTTTAAAGTTCTTGAGCCACCCCTAAAAAAATATTTAGAAAAAATTTTGTAATTCCAGAATCTTTTTATTATATAGAAAGATTTAGGGGTGAAGAGCAAACATTTTCAAAAAAAAATGTTGTTTTAAGTGCCTCTCTCTCTCTCTCTCTCTCTCTCTCTCTCTCTCTCTCTCTCTCTCTCTCTCTCTCTCTCTATATATATATATATATATATATATATATATATATATATATATATATATATATATATATATATATATATATATATATATATCAATTATGTTTATATATATTTACTTTTTTAAAACTGTAAAATATATTCCTGGAAATTAATTATTAATTTTTCGAAAATTATTCGATACTTCAAAAAAATCGTCAATCGATTAGTTCAAAATACCTATTGATTTAATTTAATTATATATTTAATTTTTTAGCTACCCGAAGTTCTGCATAACAAATTATTAAAAACGAGACCGCTGATTGCTTGTTTTCTCAGTATGTTAGGAATGTTTATCGGTTTCGCAATCATGTTTTGTTTAGCTGCTTGGGAAGAAGAGTTGGAAAAAAGTTTTTAGTCAATGCATTTTTCTATTTATATTAACGAGATCTTTTTTGACGATATACAAAATATATTTTTTATTATTTTTTTTTATTAATATTTTCAATAGTTATTTTGTTTATGCGCGCATTTATAATTAAAGATTTAATCTTCTCAAACTGAATTCTGGTACTGATATCTGAGTACTGGTAAAAGTACTCAGATATCAGTAAAAGTAAAGTTTTAATGGAGGTGAAAAAACAAAGTTTTAGGTTGGTTCGGTTCTAATATATACATACTTTATGGAGTAAATTACTTTAACGTATTGTAAATGATCAAATGAAGCACATCAAATTAGTTTAAAAAAAGTAAAATTATAAATAAATAAAAAAACTAAAAAAATAAATAAAAAACGTACGACAGCGCACTATGCGTCGCTCTAATATAAAATGAGGAAATAAGCTAATGAATAAGTATTTAGCATATTGAACAGTTTTCACAAAGCATCGAATTTTTGTCTATATTTCTATAATTAAAAAAAACATTTTTTATAGAAAAAAAAACAAAGTTTATTGTATTTTTTGGTTCATCCGGACTAATTCCTGCCTAAATCGAAAAACCACATAATTCCGGATAAATTTATTTAAAATATATAAATTAACAGTAAAATATAAATTAAACAGTAAGCGCCGATATTTTATAGAATATTATAAACTATATCACAAACACGATTTAATAATAAACGTCACTAAGTATAAACTTATTAAAATTATAAACAAATCCGATTCTTCGCTCTATGGTTTTTTACATCGTTTCTCAGCGTTCTTTTCTAATTGATGTTTTGAATAATTGAACCTGTCATTTCGAAAAGAGTCCAAAACTTTTAACAGTTAGATTTTAAATTTGAATTTTCTCTATGGTTTATGTTTTTTTATAAAAAATGAAAATCACAAAAGTTATATAGATTCTTTACTTATCTACTTCTATGTTTAATTCCTTTAGCAGTCTAGAGATTATTTTAATAAAAATCATGTTTTTGTTAATTTTGAAAAGTTTTTATAAATGGATTTGTGCCCTTTTCGAAATGACAGGTTCAATTTGTTGGTATTAAAATTGTCGCTTTTAATAAATTCAACGCAAAATGGCTTATCAGTATAGCATTTAAGTTCATGATATACGTCTTCTTAGTTACTTAGTTTTTTTTTTAAGAAAAAAACAAAACTTAGAATTGTTAGTATAAACAATATTGAGAATTTTTCTTTATAAAAATTGTTAAAGAAAATTAACAAAAACAATCAAAACTATTAGCAATAGCATAACATTCAAAAAAGCACTCAGCATTCTATTTATTTTACCATTATTTTAAATAGTTATTAGAAAAACTTTTTATTAAAAAATTATTTTAAATAGTTATTAGAAAAACTATCACTGCTTTTTTAAACTGTTTTAACTTCACTCTTTTTTATCTTTTTTTTTTTTTATTATGCAATACAGGTACATACTAGATGTCATAAACAAGTAATTAACTGTACCCCTTGTATTTTCTGCCGAGAAAATTAGAAGTGCATGACCAACTCGTGCAGTTTTGTTTTCCTTGTTTCTGGTTTCAATAGCACTCTCAGACAAATAACCTATCAGAGGATACATATATCATAGAATATCTAATTAAATAATCCAGGGGCGTGTCTAGAGGATGTCTACTACGTCGTTGGGCGTACCCAAAAAAATAAAATAAAAGTCTTTCAATTTAATTTTATTGTTGAAAAAAAATAAAAGTTTTACTATATGTTACTATTACAAACAAAAACTAAATAAGTCATGCACGGTTAATTATCTGATAAGGTTAAAAAAAAATTAAAAACCGATAAACATAAAAGTATTTCGGTTTCACAATTATGCGGTTATCAAAAAATAATAGTTATAATATTTTGATGGAGGTTAAACTAACTTTTGAGTTGAATAACTTCATTAGAAACTTGAATTGACATACCTTATTTCGTTAAACAGAACTTTTTTTTTTTAATTTTTTCTTTCATTTAGTATAAAAAAATCATAATGGTTATTTTATTTAGAACAAATTTTGGACTTTCTTTTTCATACCCTGAGTAATATTTTTATCAAGATTTTTTGTTTAACTATCATCATTAGGTAACAACAAGAGTACATCAAAATATATCAATGGACTGTGTATCCTTTTTAATAACTTGCATTTTAAGTAATAAATAAGGAGAGAAAAGGTTTCAAATATGGAAAATAAAATTCGGACTCCCTTTTCGATATACACCCTCCTTAATTTGTGTTTTATTAAATTTTATTAAACACAAAACATGAGCGTTGATTAGTTCAAAATGTCGCTTGATTTACAAGTTTTCAAAAAAAAGTTTTCATTTCAAAGAAAAAGTTAATACGTTGGAGAAAAATATCATTTCCTTTTATTCTATAATATTATATATTTTTATTCTATCTTACATCTTTTATTCTATAATATATTATTCTATAATATAATCTATAATATCTTTTATTCTATAATATATTATATATATAAAGTTATTTACCAAACAACATAATTTTAAATTGGTTGTCACTGTTCTTTCGCCAGACCATCTGAGAAGGGTAGAGCGGGGCTAGTTGAGAAATTTTTACTAAATCTAACAAATCTCATGAACGGTGCGTTGAATTCAAATACTTTTTTCAATATTCAAACGATAATTTAACCTGCTAAAAATTTGTTATGAAAAAAGTATAGTTTTTGATTTTTTTGAGAAGATATTGCCTAAAGTTTGCAGAGCTGCTCAACCTGCCCCAGCGGGGAGTAGTAGTGTGTGGTAAGTTAAAAAATCAACATATAAATAAATCTAGGTTCGAGAAGAGATCTGGACATATTTTTGCGTCACTGTAAGGAAGGAGGCGTAAACTTCCTGGTTAAATGCACTTCCACTGTGCTTTCTGACAAGACCGTTAGATCTTCTTGGGGCACCTAGAAAAATTAATAAATAATAAAATAAATATATACGGTACGAAACTTGTGTGAATCATTAATACAACTTTAACTAACAGTAAGCAGTGTATAGTTTAACTAACAGTAAGCGTGTGTATAGTTTATAAACTTTTTATTTTATACACTTTAATAACGTAAGTAAAAAAAGAGAAAAAATTAAATAGTAAGAAGTGTCATAAAATATAAAAATATAATTTTATTTCAGTTTTATTTGTTTTTTTCAAAACTACTCAACTTACCCGTAGACAAGGTGACGTTTTAGTTAGGTTTTAAAAGGAGCAGTAAGACTTAAGAGAAAACAGTTAATTTTAATCAAAAGTCCGATAAATTGATAAATTATCAACACTTATGTGATGGCAGATAAAAAAAAGTTTCTTTAAAGATAAAAAAAGTTTCTTTTGAGCGGGGCTCAACTAGCCCCGCTCAACCCTACTGAGTTTATCACAATGATTGAGGGTACAAAAGTGTTATAAAGCACCTGTGTTTTAGTTTGTTTGTTCTAATCTTCTGTTTCTTCTAAAAACAATTACAGAAATTCAGTGTTCTTGTTATAATAGTTGGAAAGACCACATCATATCATTAAGTGTCTTTTATTTAAAGAAAGGCTTTATTGTGTTTATTTATTATTGCCAAACCAAAACCTTTATTACCTGAGTTTGACCTGTTTGGAAATAGAGTTGTATTTTACTTAACTGGCTGAATTTCAAAAATGAACTTTAATCTAATAATATTGAAACATTAAAAGCTACAAACCTTTTCTTTACTGAGGGGCCTAAAAGGTTAGAGCAGTAAGAGGAAGTTGTAAAGAAAAATAATATATAAAGTTATTTATAATACAGACTATAGATAGTAAACAGGCTTTTAACAAGTTTGTTATAAACACTTATGTGTTGTTTTAAATAAAATTCAAATGTAATAAAAGAATAATTTCAAAAAATGTGTTAGCTACCTTTTGTTTAACAGCAATTTTCATAGCCAGACATCTTTGTAAAAACAGTATTTAGCATTGTGCAGTTATTAAAAAAAGTTTTTTAACTCTTGGTAAATATTAATAAAGTTTGTTTATAATAAAAAGTTATTTGTAAAGTTATATAAATAAATTTCCACTGCAAAATCTTGTACTTAGAAAACTATAACTTGTATATATTATAAATTATGTTAACTGAGTATTTTCAAAAAATAATTTTTTTAATATGCAAAAAACTTATATATGCTTTAGTGACCATTTAAGCAATGTTATAAGTCATTTAAAGATTTATTAAAACATCTTTACAAAATTCAATCCGGACAAAACTAAAAAAAATGAGGAAGAGTAGTGGGGCCTAAAGTTTTTTTTGGACCAAAAAATTTCGTGTACACGCACCTGAAGAATTATAAGCACAGATTGTGACAGGAATGGAAAAAACTTCTAATTGAAAAATAATACCTTTTTTCTAACATGAGATACACAAAATTAAAGTAAGAATATGTTTATTACCATGACTTTTAATATTTTTACCCTTTACCCTTCCTTATTTTTAAGTTGCATTTATTGCATGCCGAACGATTCGGCATGCAATAAATGCAACTCAAAGACATTTTTTTCAAATGTGCATTATGGTTCCAATGCCAAATAAGTTAAAATTCAATTGGATCCTATTTGTGACCTTTTCTAGCAAAATTTCTCTCTTTAATAGTTCCCATACATTTTCTATAGAGTTTAGATCTAGAGAGTTCCCGGCCAATCCAAAGTGAAATTTTTAGAGATGCCTAAAAATTTTTAATGGATTCCATCGTGTGCTCCAGATTATGTGTTCACCGGATTATGCCACGGCATGGTGCTCTATCTTACATAAATATTTTTTTCTGCTAATTTGGAAACCATTGAGGTAAAAGACGGGTTTTAATGATCTTTTTGTAATGGTCCTGTTTTAATATTCCATCCACAACGTACAGTTGATCAAGACCTTTTCCACTAATAACTGACTATGACATGACTTTAGGAGGATGTTTAGTTGTTTGGATTATGCACTCTTCATAAAATTTTTATTGTAAGCTCTTTTCCCATATTGACCCTTTTGAGTCATAATTTCTATGGTAGACTCATCACTAAAGCAACCTGGAGAAAACAAAATGAAAACAATCACTAAATACCAACACTGGAATATTAGGAAAAAAAATTACTTTTGTATTACAATGACTTGCCGATTTTTAGTCATCAACAGTGAAACTATTGTACTTCTTTACCTAATCCAGATGCTTTTTTCTCAAGTATTGGTTAATTTTAGCTTTTGTGCTGGTCTTTTACTTCTTATCCCCAATATGTGCAAACTTCGTCGAACAGTGATTGTTGCTGCATTTAGTCCCACCTCGTTTAATTTTTTAGCAATTGCTGAGTATGTAGCAAATCTATTTTCTTTCACTATTTTCCCTAGCTTTCTCTTATTTTTTATTTTTTCAATTTATTTAGATGCCCCAAGAAGACCAAACGGTCTTATCACAGAGCACCGCGGAAGTGCATTTAACCAGGAAGTTCACGCCTCCTTCCTTACCGTGACGCGAAAAATGGCTCGTTTCGAACCTGGATCTTCTGCTTATAAAGCAAGCGCTCTAACCACTGCGCCACGGCCGCATCTTATTCCTTGGTGTTATTTTCTTTTTACTATTTTACATTTTTCTTTTTACGACCACACTTGCCTTGCCTCTGAATATCTAATGGGAGACTATTTTTCAATTTGTTTTGATTCTGTTTACAGTGTGTTTTGATATCTCAAGACGCACTGTAAACAGAATTAAAACGCAATATCAAGACCCTCTGTTTACAGTGCGTCTTGATATTGAATAATTGACCATATAAAGTTTATGACCATAAAAAGTTAGGTTTCCTTTTAGGACCATATAAAGATAAAAATATGACCATATAAAGAGATAGTACTATGAAACTTAAAATTTAAACTTAAAACCATATAAAGAGATAGTACTATGAAACTTAAAATTTATCGATGAATATAAGTCTAGTTGAAAATAATATAAAAAAATATTTCATCGACTTGTTGCTATCACGTTTGGGGTAAGAATGGTTAAAACTTTGGGGCTTTTTTTTTTCCAAGCTTTTTTGTTCCAATCATTGTAATTTTTTTTTCTTTTTCTTTATTACAATCTTTATACAATTATAAGTAAAATAAAAAGTAATCTTACATTAATTTAAATTAACTAAAAATAAAGATATCGTTAGAAAATAAAGGTAGCATAATAAAGAAACGGAAAACTCGTAGAAAACCGTGATGTCTTGTCACCGAGAAACCGTTCAAGCTGATTGAAATGATTTTGCTGATTTGATATGGAGCTTTAATGTTTTCTTGTTTTTTTTTTTTTTTTTTTGTTATAACTGGTTTTATGAGTAACTTTTCGTTAAACTAGTAGAGCTGATGATTTTTCTTGGTTTTCAAAATTAATAGTATATATATTTTTTATTTTAATAAGAAATAAACAAGATACACAAGACAATAGTAAATAAGTAGTGATGACTTTTTCAGGTTTAATTATTTTAGGTGATTTTAGAAGAAATCTTTAAAATCGAAAGTTTTTTCTAATAGAAAACGTTTAGATTCTGTTTTGAATTGTTCTAAGGAGATGCCTCGAAGAATTTTATTTTTAATTATATTTTTTAAAAAACCTTTCCATATAAATGGTCCCCGGTATTGAATTTGAAATGAATTGAGTTTTAAATAAGATCTTGGAATAACAAAATTATCAGATGAAAATTTAGTGGGATATTTATGAGATATTTCGGTAAAGTAAGACTGAAATATATTAGGAGATAACGCATGTTTTGTTTTAAACGTAAATAGCATAACTTGGTATATATTAAGTTTGTAAATATTAAGCACATTAAGTTTCTTTAAAAGAGATTCACCATTAACAGTTCTGTTAACGCCAAAAATAATCCTACAAGCATGTTTTTGTTTGCTATAAATTTTTTTGAGCTTCCCATAATTGGTACTTGCCCATGCAAGATTACAATAGGAAAGATAACTATGAATAAATGAGAAATATATAATTTTTAAAGATTCCGTATTAAGAAAAGGTTTAACTTTATATAGCATTGAAATATTTTTGGAGATTTTATTTTCAATAGATCTAATATGATATTTCCATGATATATTTTCATCTAATATCACTCCTAGAAAGTTAATAGTTGACTCTCTTTTAATAACTTTTTTGTTCATAAAGAGATCAGGTAGTTTTAAAAAAAGGTTATCACCTTTACTAGGTTTGTGGAACAACATAAATTTAGTTTTCCCAACATTTAATGAAAGTTTATTATTCGTAATCCATTCATTTATTTTTAATAACTCTTCATTAAAAATTCTAAACAGATCTTTAATATTTCTGTTAGAGTAAAAAAGATTTGAGTCATCAGCAAACAAAATAACGTTTAGAATTTTGGATGCTAAATACAAATCATTAATGAACAGTATGAATAATAAGGGCCCTAAGATTGATTCCTGGGGAACACCACAAGTTATGATATGTTTTTTTTTCTTCATTTTCTGTATATATTATGTATTGTTTCCTGTTTGAAAGGTAACTTTTAAACCATTGTAAGTTATTGTTTAATACTCCATACATTTCTAGTTTTTTTATTAGAATATCATGATTAACAGTGTCAAATGCTTTTGACAAATCAATAAAAACTCCTAATGTATAGCAATCATTATTGAACCCATTGGATACATAATTTATTAGATCGACTACTGCATGGTCCGTTGAATGATTTTTTTTAAACCCAAATTGTTTATTATACAGAATATTGTTCTTAGTTAAATAGTTGTTAAGTCTATCATACATAATTCGTTCTAACAATTTAGAGAAACATGGTAAGACAGAAATAGGTCTATAATTGGACATATTTGTATCATTTTTAAAAATAGGTATAATCTTAGCAATTTTTAATTTCTCCGGTACAATACCGGATTTTAAAGAAAGATTAAAAATGTGAAACAGTGATGGTTAAATAATATCAAACACAGCTTTAACTACATTTACGCTAATTTTATCAATGCCCGCACATTTATTATTTTTTAGACAGTTGAAAGCATTGCGCATCTCACTTAAGTTTAAATTAGATTCTATCATAGATGTGTTGGGTGTATTTATATAAGATTCGAAGTTGTTTGAGTTGGTTTTTGGAATTTTATCAGCTAATTTTGGTCCAATATCAAGAAAAAATTTGTTGAGCTTGTTAATTATGACTTCTTTATTATAAATTATATCCCCGTCAACTAAAAGTTTTTCTGGCAATTTATTATTTTGACATTTATTTGTACCGATTATCTGCTTAATTACATTCCACGTCTTTTGTGTGTTTCCATGTGATTTTTCTAGCAATTTTGCATAATAATTTTTTTTAGATTGTTTCTTTATTTTTTCAAACAAGTTTTTATAATTTTTATATTTTGTTTCATTTTTATATGTTTTATGTTTTAAATATTTTTCATAAAGGTTTTGTTTCCTCTTTGATGATTTGAGTAAACCTTTGGTCATCCAAGGGTTTAAAAGTGATTTAGGATTTATAATTTTTTTTATAACTGGAAATGCCAAATCATAGTTTTTACAAAACTGCGCCAAAAATAATTCATACGCATTATTCACATCTTGCGATTGTAATATAAGATCCTAATTAGTTTTTTCAGATAAAAGATTTCGAAAATATATTATGGAGTTTTTATTGATTTGTCGCATTGATATTGTTGATTTAGAGACAGAATGATTAAGGGTTATATTATCTGTAGTTAAGAATATTGGGTAATGATCTGTTATGTCAGTTTTATTTATACCCGATTCTAATTACATTTGATTCTAATACATTGAATAAAATACATTTGATTCTAAATACATTTGATTATTTTATATAGTATTTGGTTTCAATAATTCTTTAATAACATTTAGTTCATTTTAGGAAAACCATTATGCAATAAACAGCTAAAATTAGAATTATTCACACTCCAGAGTATACTTGGTGTCTCATAAGTAATTGTTTTCGTCGGTACTTTTAGTAACAACTTTAGTAGAATGCACGACTTTTAGAAAGTAAGCTTCTGATGAATATATATGTATATATATATATATATATATATATATATATATATATATATATATATATATATATATATATATATATATATACATATATATATATATATATATATATATATATATATATATATATATATATATATATATATATATATATATATATATATATATATATATATATATATATATATATATATATATATATATATATATATATATATATATATATATATATATATATATATATATGTATATGTATATACAATTACTACAATTTTTTTACCTTGTGCATTTTATTGTCGTCGAAATGTCAAAGTAATTAAATTAATGCGGAACAACATTAAATTTTATTGTTTTTTAAAAAACCGGAATTATAATGACTAGAAAGTTTTTTTTAATTAGTGGTGTTTTTGTTTATGCATTATTAAAAAACATTTTTAAAACATGCGTAAGTGTTGCTACATCGACTATCTAATAGCCTGCTGCTACAAGGGAGTGTTGCTACATCGACTATCTTATAGCCTGACTCACAACGGAGTGCTGCTACATCGACTGAAAATAGCCTGACTCGCAACGGAGTGCTGCTACATTGAATGACAAACAGCTCGACTCGCATATATATATATATATATATATATATATATATATATATATATATATATATATATATATATATATATATATATATATATATATATATATATATATATATATATATATATATATATATATATATATATATATATATATATATATATATATATATATGCGCCCCATACAAAACGCATTGCATCGATATAGGTGTTGATTGAATTTTTTTTTTTGCTCATGTGAATGTTATTAATAAGTTTTACTAATTATTTTAATTTTTGTGTAATAATTCTCAATTTAGTGACCAGATTAAGAAAAATTTCACTTGTCGATCACTAAGTGAAATTTTGTTACATATAAGGTTATTATGTTTATTTTTAGTGCTTAAATAAAGAAACTGTGAAACAATGTCTGGTTACATACGATTATTCGAAATAAATGAAACAGATATACAGCAACTGTTATTTGCTGACAACAGTAATGATGATGAAAAGAAATGGTTTCTTAACCATGAAGATGAAAGTTTCTTACTTAAAGATGTTGACTTTGTTGCACAGAAAGTTGTCATAGAGCGACTAGATCTTTTTTACGAACCTAGTAACACAACAACAACAAATATTGGGGTCAAACATGTGACATACTATGGTAAATCAAAGCAAAAATGTACCACCAATATTCCAGAAGAAGCAACACAGTTAAAGTTAAAAGCTTACCTTAAACGATTAACAAAAGCAATATACACTCGTCATAGGCGTAGAGTATGAGGTGCAACAAGGGCAGGCTGCCCCCCTCTTTGAGTCAAACTTATGATAATATATATGATATTTATTTATGATAAATATTATTTCGATTTTTTATTTTTAAATAGAGGAAGATATCAGAGGAAGGAATCAAACTTTTTCCGTAAAAAGAAAAGAAAGAAATAATTTGCTATAATCTTTGCTATAAACGTACCCCAAAAAATTGTTTTTGGTCAAAAACGTTTTGAAAAAAAGATATAAACTTGGAAAACCTGACGACAGAAGAAATCTTTTTTTCATATAAAAATACGTTTTTTCGATCAAATAAAACTTCAGGTTTTTGAAAACAATTTAAGATTTTTTCAAGCTGTATACTAGTGCTTTAAAGTAATTTTTATGATTTAGAAAAGCTCATGTCACCCGTTCAAAAGGGCATAGTTTTTATCAGAGGCTCACTAAAGAAGTTGGTTTTTAAGTCTAAAAGATCAAAATGAAAGTCTAAAAGACCAAAATATAAGACCAAAATGAAACAGCATTTAAACTTTTTTTCCCAACCAAATAGGTAATGCGTAAGTCATCACTAATAACTATTACTAGTAAGTACAGATCACTTCCAGTTTGGCTGGAAGACCTTACCACCAACCCTGACTATACCCAATGCTAAGTGAAAGCAACGATCTTTTTGTCTTTCCGGGTATCGACACCTTTTATAAATTGGAATTTATTTGAATCATTTTTGAATTTAAAATGGAAGCTCTTTTTATGTTGTGCAAAATTAATCAAATACAGCTGAAGCACTACAAGTATAATCAAACTTGTCGTAGTAAGAATCAGTGCAACAGAGAAGCTGCCGGAGCCAATTCATTAATTTTTGTAGCTTTGTTGATGCTGGCAACGATTTGATGTGTGCAGAGGACATTTATAATGCTTTACATTACGACCAACGGCTGAAAAATTCTGTTGTTGGTGTTGCCACTATAAATGGCAAAAGCAAGATGAGTGGAACAAAAATAACTAAAATAAGTCAGTATTATTTTTATAAGTTCTTTCATAACTCTATGACAATGTGGCGATACTATGCACGTATATATGTATGTATGTATGTATGTATGTATGTATGTATGTATGTATGTATGTATGTATGTATGTATGTATGTATGTGTGTATATGTATGTGTATATATGTATGTGTGTGTATATATATATATATATATATATATATATATATATATATATATATATATATATATATATATATATATATATATATATATATATATATATATATATATATGTATATATATATATATATATATATATATATATATATATTTTTTTTGTTCTTTAATTTTACAACTTTGTGATTTAATAAATATTCGTTAACAATGTATATATATATATATATATATATATATATATATATATATATATATATATATATATATATATATATATATATCTTTAAAAGTCATTTCTTGTTATACGGTATATATATATATATATTTAATATGTAAGTTGATTTTAATAAAAAGACAGCGTATAACTATTTTTAAATATATTTTGATGTAAAAATATATCAACGATATTTCGCTGACCTATTGTGGTCAGCGTCATCAGGTAATAATAAAAAAAAACGTTACAAAATAACATAAAAACAAACCGTTTAAAAAGAAGACATTAAAAAGCGTCAAATATAAAAACCAATTAAATATAATAATGACGTCAGTTAAATTTTTGTCAAAATGGGTCCCAAAGTTCTTGTTTTAACCTTATCCCCGTCATCTCGATTTAGAACACCTTCCCCAATACCTATCTCACATCGAACTTTCGCTTTGTTAATCTCCAGAGATTCTCTAATTTTTCGTATCTTGTATTCTTGAACGACTGCCAAGGTCTTAGGATTTAGCCAATCAAAGTTACCACGGCATGTTTTGAAATGTTCCGTGGCTCCTGAACTCGACCATTTTTGATTTTTGCAAGCTCTTTGGTGTTCTGCACTTCTTGAAATGATTTTCTTTTTGGTCTCACCAACATATATATTTCCGCATGAGCATTTAAGTTGGTAAACCCCCGGATTTGAGTTCGGAGGTAGTTTAGTTTTGTTGTTGCATAATATATTACTTAAACTAGAAGCTGAAGTAAATATAACTCTGATGTTTTGTTTTTGAAATTCTCTTCGGAGTTTTGGGCCAATAATAGGTATCCAAGGTAGTTTAACAAACTTTTGATCTAACTGCTTAGATGTAGTATTTTTTGAAATGCCGTCTAAATAGTTTTTGGTTATTTTAATAAGATTATTTTTATTATAGCCGTTTTCAAAAAATGTATTTATGAGGAAATCAATTTCTTGTGAGAGATATTTTTGAGAGCAGATTTGTTTTGCTCGACATAAAAAACCTTTAAAGACGCCAATGGTTATGCTCGGGTTGATGTTGGAGTTTGGTTTTATTTGAACATTTGTTATCGCATCTTTACGGTGTATTTGAAACTCATAAAATCCATTCATTGTATTTGTAATACAAATATCTAAAAAATTAAGTTGTTTTCTTTTGTTTTCAAGTTCAACGGTATATTTTATGGAGGGGTTTTGTTCATTTAAAGCTTTAAGAAATAATTCTTGCTTTTCTTTTGAATCGAAGCGAGCATGGCTATCATCCACATATCTTTTAGAAGTTATTGGTTGGAATGAATTAACAAAGGCTATATCAAGTGCTCTTTTTTCTATATTTTGCAAAAATGCTTCAGCTATGACTACCATCAATGATAAACCAATTGGACCTGAATTAGGTAAAATTCGGATTTTATTTTTGTATAAAAAGTAACATATGCTTAACGATAGTTCAATTAATTGGTGTATATCTATAAGAGTTAATTTAGTCCTAGTTTTTAAATCTTCAAGATCATCGTTCAATATGTTAATAATAACAGGAATTGCTTCATTGATCGGTACGGATGGATATAAATTAATTGCATCGAAAGAAACCTGAATTTCATTAGGGTCTATCTTCCATTCTTTAGCATCGTTGACAAAGCTTCTTGAATTAATTAGTCGGGTTATGTTTTTGTTTAATGTTGGTTGGATAATTTTAACCAGATACTCAGATGTTCCATAAGGAGGTGTGTTAATAGTGGAAACAACAGGACGCATTGGGTAGTTTTTTTCCGGTTTGTGTGCTTTAACCATTCCATAGATTCTAGGTGGAACGCAATCTGATGGATACATTTTAAAATAAGTAGCATTGTCTAACTTACCTTGTTTTCTTAATTTACATAATAGTTTTTGAAATTTAGTAGTGAATGTGGGTGTTGGGTCGTAATCAATAATTTTACTATTTTTTATTTGTTCTTCTAATTTCGCTTTTGCTTCATTTTCGCATAATAAAGCAAAACCTGTTCCTTTGTCAAACGGATATATCTTTAGATGTGAATGTTTTTTCAGGTTTTGTAAAGAAAGGCGTTGTTGTTTTGTTAAATTATCTTTTATTTTTAACTTTAAAGAACTGGTTAGAATTTTGGAACAGTTTTGTCGAAGAATCTCTGCTTGTGTTTGTTTATTTTGTTGTTCGAGTTCCAAGGCGCAAGTTTCAATATTAGTGATTATGTCCATATAAGGGATGTTCTTTTGTATTGGGACAAATTTTGGACCAAGATTAAGTAGTTCAGTAGTTGCTTTATCAAGATTAATATTTGTTAAATTTAGTATAGCTGGTTTTAAAATTCGGTTAGGACGATTTTTTTCAAAATTGATTTTATAACTGATGTCATTTTTCAATTTATAGAATTTTTCTTTCATTTTAGTTTTTTTTTAAGAATAATGGTAGTTCTTAGATTTGTTCGTTACATTATTAATTATCTCATAGTCATTAGATCTTATTTGAGATTGAAGATATAAATTTAATTCATCAATTAACTTCTTACTTGAATATAATCTTTCTTTTGCTTCATTTCGAGCATGAACTAATAATTTTTTCCTGCATTCTTTCATTATATTTTCAGCTTTTTTGGTACGTAGTAGACTTTTTATTTTAAACGATTTTGGAATTATATTGTTTGATATGCATTTTTGAAGAAAAACGAGTTGATTTTTCGCAATTGCATTTCGTATATTCAAAGTTTGCAATTTTTTCGTTTCATTGTAAATCTCTTTGCCGTAAAGAGCAGTGATAAAATCTTTAAAAGTCATTTCTTGTTATACGATATATATATATATATATTTAATATGTAAGTTGATTTTAATAAAAAGGCAGCGTATAACTATTTTTAAATATATTTTGATGTAAAAATATATCAACGATATTTCGCTGACCTATTGTGGTCAGCGTCATCAGGTAATAATAAAAAAAACGTTACAAAATAACATAAAAACAAACCGTTTAAAAAGAAGACATTAAAAAGCGTCAAATATAAAAAAATGGTTTATCATTGATTGTAGTCATAGCTGAAGCATTTTTGCAAAATATAGAAAAAAGAGCACTTGATATAGCCTTTGTTAATTCATTCCAACCAATAACTTCTAAAAGATATGTGGATGATAGCCATGCTCGCTTCGATTCAAAAGAAAAGCAAGAATTATTTCTTAAAGCTTTAAATGAACAAAACCCCTCCATAAAATATACCGTTGAACTTGAAAACAAAAGAAAACAACTTAATTTTTTAGATATTTGTATTACAAATACAATGAATGGATTTTATGAGTTTCAAATACACCGTAAAGATGCGATAACAAATGTTCAAATAAAACCAAACTCCAACATCAACCCGAGCATAACCATTGGCGTCTTTAAAGGTTTTTTATGTCGAGCAAAACAAATCTGCTCTCAAAAATATCTCTCACAAGAAATTGATTTCCTCATAAATACATTTTTTGAAAACGGCTATAATAAAAATAATCTTATTAAAATAACCAAAAACTATTTAGACGGCATTTCAAAAAATACTACATCTAAGCAGTTAGATCAAAAGTTTGTTAAACTACCTTGGATACCTATTATTGGCCCAAAACTCCGAAGAGAATTTCAAAAACAAAACATCAGAGTTATATTTACTTCAGCTTCTAGTTTAAGTAATATATTATGCAACAACAAAACTAAACTACCTCCGAACTCAAATCCGGGGGTTTACCAACTTAAATGCTCATGCGGAAATATATATGTTGGTGAGACCAAAAAGAAAATCATTTCAAGAAGTGCAGAACACCAAAGAGCTTGCAAAAATCAAAAATGGTCGAGTTCAGGAGCCACGGAACATTTCAAAACATGCCGTGGTAACTTTGATTGGCTAAATCCTAAGACCTTGGCAGTCGTTCAAGAATACAAGATACGAAAAATTAGAGAATCTCTGGAGATTAACAAAGCGAAAGTTCGATGTGAGATAGGTATTGGGGAAGGTGTTCTAAATCGAGATGACGGGGATAAGGTTAAAACAAGAACTTGGGGACCCATTTTGACAAAAATTTAACTGACGTCATTATTATATTTAATTGGTTTTTATATTTGACGCTTTTTAATGTCTTCTTTTTAAACGGTTTGTTTTTATGTTATTTTGTAACGTTTTTTTTATTATTACCTGATGACGCTGACCACAATAGGTCAGCGAAATATCGTTGATTTATTTTTACATCAAAATATATTTAAAAATAGTTTTACGCTGCCTTTTTATTAAAACAATTTACATATTAAATATATATATATATATATATATATATATATATATATATATGTATATATATATATATATATATATATATATATATATATATATATATATATATATATATATATATATATATATATATATATATATATATATATATATATATACGATCGTTATTAAGAAAAAAAAGAACGCGGGAACTCGTAGAAGACCGTAAGGTCTTGTCGTCGAGAACCGCTAAAAAATTTTCGTGTTAATATTTCGTATTAATAAAATATTCTCAAAATAAATAAACTTTCAATAGGAATATATACTTAACATACTTGAAGATAACAAATAATTAAGAATTGAAAACATAAACAAATTTAAATAAAAAAAGAAAAAGAAAAACGGTTCTGTTATAAATACATAGATGCGTTATACAGTTTTAAGATATCTTTAGCACAATTGTTAAACTTTTTGTTAAAGGTTTTGTTATACAGTTTTAAGATACCTTTAACAAAAGTGTTAAACAACTATTTACAATTTGTTAAATTATAAAATTTATTAATGCAGTGTTAAATATAAAGTTAAAAAAGAAACAAAAAGTTAAAAGAATATAGATATATCATGTAATAAAAAAATGACTTTTTTAAGTTTTTGTTTGAAAGAGTGATAGCTAACTTCTTGAGAAAAGTCAAAATTCTTTAAAACTGTTTTATTCACACACATATATATATATATATATATATATATATATATATATATATATATATATATATATATATATATATATATATATATATATATATATATATATATATATATATATATATATATTTTGAATAACTTACGAAATTTCTCAGTTAACATATGAACGTTTTTAAAACGTTTTTTTAACGTAATAAAAAAACGTTTTTTAAACGTATAGCGCGGCAATATCTAAAAGAGTAAGTATGTTTACGCAAATAATGGCGTGACCTTCGATTAGGCGAATTGATTTATTTAAGTAAAAATTATATAAATTAACGTTACTTTAAATCAACCAAGTGTATGTATTGTTTTCTAGTAAAATTAAATTTGAAAATATATTGGAGTATTTTTAGTTTAAATTTGCATGCCTTCGTTGAAACTAGGTTGTGTTTCTATTTCTACTTGAATCAAGTAGATATGATTAATGAGGTTTTTATGGTGTGTTTAACTAGATTTTTTTCTTTATTAAATAACTTAATTGTTGAGTAAACTTGATTGCTGAAGAAACTAGATTAAGTTTTTAATTTTACTTGATTATCAACTGCAAAAAAATTTATTTGGATTTGAGAAAAGATAACAACATTCTCAGAGTATTTCTTCTTAAACTCTAAAAATAAAAAATGATAATATCAGTGGTTATTATAGAGGAATTACTATAGTTGAAGAGGCTGAAAGGTAAAAATATGAAGAAATGTTTCAAGAAAGTGAGTGACTTAGTTCAAAATGCAATTTTTAGATTTTAAATCTTTAATGATATTCTGGTGTTATCACCAAATATTTGGCAGTATGAAACCTATAATATTATATATCATATTATATACCCTATTTTACTTTTTAAAATAATAATCTGTAAAGTAATTTGTGAAAAATTTTTAATTGTAAAATTGCTACATGAGAAAACAAGTTTAGATGAAATTCAAATACTCTATTCTTGTGTTCTGTAAGTCAAAAAATAATAAATATGCATTTTAAATTTATTTATTTACGTAAATTTGTTAAGACTATGTAAGATTTAGTTATTGTAAATTTGTTTAGACTTTCAATATTGTGTGTTACTTCTCTTAAATGAGGTAAAAACCAAAGGATGCAAAAAACTTAATACAAAATAGTGTGAACAAAAAGTAGTAACTGATATGAGCAGCCTAATAGAACTTGTTAAGTTTGACTCAGCACTTAATGTTTCATATAGTAACTCTGTAGTAACTCTGCAGTTGTAAATTGCTAAATACTGAATTGACAGATTTTCTCGTTTTAAATTTTTTTTTTTTACAATGTATAATTTTTACTACTAAATTAGGAATTGTCCGTTTTTCCATTATTTCTTTCTATTAGAAACAAAGAGTTCAAAATATTGGTGGTAAGAATTGTCAAAAACTTGTGATAGCTATGATGAAGAGGTTAGTAAATTAAAAGTGCATTCCTATAAATACTCTGTTTAAGTTTATAATGATATTATTCCCATCTTACAATCCATGATACAAATCCCATGCAAGGTTCGTGTGTATCCAATGAGTTACGGCACCGATTATGTAATCAAAATCTTCGACCATTTTATCAAAGCGTGCTTAGCGTTTGAGTTGTAAGAATGTATTTTGTTGTGTTTATTTTAGGATTTTATATCAGCATAGACTTTTTTTGAAAAGTGGAAAAGTTAAACTTCATTTTTTGATAGTTTTTTTATTTAGAGTTACAACCATTTTTATTGAATTTATTTTTCTTAAAAACTTCGTTGTTGATCACGCGTCAAATTAATATTGAAGGAATGCTGAGAACATTTTTGAAACTATTAAAATTTTAAAAAAAAATTTAAAAACTTAATTTCTACGTGCATGCCAAATTTTATTTAAAATGATTATGTAGCAGACACCTAATTTTTTGTAGCAGAACATGTACCTTGGTTAAAAAATTGTAAATAAAGCAAAATATTGCGCTTCTAGTAACAAAGTTCCATAACAAAACTAAAGTTAACCGAAACGGATATTTTAAAACTGGTCTTAGTTTTTTGAGGCAACCCTTGTAATCAAACTTTATTACTTAAATGAGAATAACTTTTTGTAAAATTGTTATTTTGTTATGAAATAACAAAATAACAATTCTAATTTAGTATTAATATTCTAGTCTAATAATAATTTAATGGTCAGGTCAGGTTTATCCTGCTACTGGTAACTTGTAACCCAGTACAATCTGCTTCATGTTCTGCTGCCTTGTAGGATATACTTTTTTAGGCAAAGGCTAGGAGACGCAAACTTCGACATAAAACACCCCCTGCCTTGGGGCTCTTGGTTGAGTAAAGACTAGAGATGTTGTCTCGATAAAAATACTCGTTTTGGGCAGATGTTAAATGCATCCGGCAGCTGTCTTGTAGAAGGCCTCCAAGGCAAAGGCTTAAGGGATAAACAGATTCTATCTGTTGACCAGCTACGCACCCCTTTTTCATCTATTAGGCTTGCGCAAATGTATTTTTAATACATTGTTTCCAGTTTAGGATGTTGAACGCTGGATCTTTATGACTCTGTGCATAAGTTTTGCTTGTGGCTCTGTTTTTATGACTAGGCAACTCATTTTATTATCTCCAAATGAGGGTACAGCTCTAAAACTCAGTTTTATGGTTCTGAGGCCGGCTGGTAGTCAGGTTTCCTGAACTCTGTGCTAGCTCACAGAGAGGCTGATTCCATCAACAGCTGAAAAATATCAGAGTACTAACAGTGCCATGTTGCGCATGGATGGTGTCTCTGTTTGTACTTTTGGTGTGCGTTGCCAAGGCCACAATGCAGCCCTTTGTTACGGCTTAGGGTTTATTAGTGGAAAAGAGGCAATTGCTAGGGCTATAAAACAGTGTACTGAGTACTATCTATGTTTCGAGTCAAGTTCTTTAACAAATTTATAAATGAATAAAGTAGCAAAAACTAGAAAACACAAAAAACCACAGTCATCACCAAGTTCGCTAAACCGATCATTCACCAATATTCGTGGTCTTCGAAGTAACTTTCCTTCTGTTGAATCTTATCTCTTGCAAAGTTCACCAGACCTACTTGCTCTCTGTGAGACTAATTTGATTTCAGCTGTCTCATCTTGTGATCTTAGTGTTGATGGTTATCTTCCTTTGGTTTGAAAAGACTCCAATAGTCACATGCTTGACTCTGCATTTACATTTGTAAGAATTTACCCATTTGTCAGGAAACTAGGTTTGAATCCATAGACTACTCTTTTATGTGCTTTCGTTTAGCACCACTTTACTCTATCACCTTTCTCTTTGTTCTATATCGCTCTCTCATCTCAAGACTGAATTCTTCTTGAGGTTATTTCTGATCATATTGACCAACCCTTCTCTATTTATCCATCAGCCAATATTGATGTTGTCGGTGACTTTAATTTTCATCACACTGAATGGCTTGGCTCTAATGTCAGTGACTCTGCAGCCATTAAGGCCAACAACTTTTGCCTCCCTCAATCCCTAATTCAAATAATCAACTTTCTAACTCGCTTTCCAGATAACCCGAATCATTTACCTTCTTTACTCAACTTATGCCTTGTTTCTGATCTTAGTCAGTGCTCAGTTTCTCCACACTCACCCTTAGGTGCATCCGATCATGGTTTGGTCTCTCTAAAACTATTATCTCATTCTTCTTTATCGTCAGAATCCCCCTATCATCGTACATCTTACAACTACCTTAAAGCTGACTGGGACTCTTTCTGTGATTTTCTTCGTGATGGCCCCTGGGTTGAAATCTTTCGTCTTCCTGTTGACAAATGTGCTTCTTACATAACTTAAAGGTGGAGAGGTTAAGGCCATTGCTTTTGAGATTTCTAAAGTGTTTGATAAAGTTTGGCATGCTGGTCTTCTCCATAAACTTTCTTCTTGCGGTGTATCTGGAAACACCTTTAAGATTATTGAATCGTTCCTTTCCACTCGTAGTATAAAAGTTGTCCTCGATGGACAGCACTCTTCTTCTTATTCTGTAACCTCACGGGTTCCTCAAGGTTCAATCCTTTGCCCTATACTCTTTTAAATTTACACTAACTATCTTCCA